TAATTTTAATCTGAAATGATCTTTGCAGCAGTTCTCTCTTTATTTTCCTATTAAATAAGATTATAATTGGACTTTTGTTGCTTCGAAATAGAAATGAAAATAGATTGAAATCTCCGAAACTAACGATAATTTGCTTTTTGAAGATTTTAATCGACTATTATTTCTATTTACGAGCAAAAAAATCGAATCACAGTCTGATCTAGTGGGATATAATCTGATAATTTTTCACTGTGTAAGGATAAAATAACGGATAGAAATTGAAGCTAAGGATAAGATTAAGAACAGGAATAGGTAGTTAATATTAAGGATAGAAATAGATGGTTAAGGATACTGTTAATGATAGAAATAATTACCGAAGGATAATATTAAGGTAAAGAATAGGAAAAGATAGTTAAGGATAAGGATAGGATTAGGTAGTTAAGAAAAAGAATAGGAATGTGTAGTTAAGGATAAGGATAGGAATAGGTAATTATAGAAAAGGATAAGGTTAATGTTAAGAATGAAGCGAATAGTTAGAGATAAGGCTAAAGGTAAACCTAAGGATTAGATTAAAAGTAAAAATAGGTGGTTTATGATAGGATTGAAGAGTAGATAGAACAAGCTAAGGATAGAAATAAGTGGTTCGATGTAGAATCAATCAGTGACACTAGACAAAACGTCTGAAATGAATTGCTTTCTAACAGGCCAAAACCTTGTTTAGAAAACGAATAAAGAAGTCCAAGATAAAACCAGATTTTGTTTGAACCTTAAAAGGTTCTGAAAATGGTACCGAAATCTAGAACCTTTTAAGGTTCAGTATGCGATGTTTTTTTTACAGAGTAATAATGTTGGAGAAATGTATATTACGTTAGTAATATAAAAGAATGAGAAAAAATCGCCAATTAGATAATTACAACGTTACTTATGGTTCTATTCAAATTTCAGACCGAATTGAAATAACCAATAATAGCTAGTAATGATCCAATGAAATATAGACGTTACTAAAATATGGCAGTTTCAGAAAAATTCTTCTCATAATGCAATGAGTTATTAAATCTTGCTGTTTAATATAATTAAAAGTAATCAAAACTTTTAGGGATTGGTATAAACCAATAATTTTTTATCGAAAAAAAAATGAAGTTAAAATAGATAATATAGAGGCAGCGACGACTCATATTTGATGTTTTCATCTAAAAGTTGATATTAGGAGGTTATTTTCAGTTAAATACACACCAGTTACCACTTACTAGTAACTGGTGGTTACCAGTTACCTGGTAAATGGTAAGTGGTACTGGTTACCAGTTACCAGGTAACTAGTAACTGATACTGGTTACCAGTTACTAGTAAGTGGTAACTGATAAATATAATATTCTTTAATTATAGAAACAGACACTGTTACCTTGGTAAGTGTAAGTGATAGTAACAGGTAATATGACATCCCTGATGATGATGTCTTCAACTAGATGTTCTATTTTGTTGATCGAAGGGTGTGGGTGTAGATATGGATATTGTCTTGATTTATTATGCACCCAAACCCACCCATACCCGCACTCTATATACCCACACCTCACATTCCCACATACCTACACCCACCCTCAACCGGACGAAAAAAATTATATGAGTAGGAAAACAAGTAAACAAATAAAAATATAAAAACGAATAATATTAATAAAATCAGAGCAAGAAAAACGCAATTAACAAGATCAGAAAAAAGAAATGAAATAGAAAAAATTCCACCATTGAATTTTTAGAAGGATATAATCAAAAAAATAGTCATACAATGTATTTAGAAAAAAAAGAAAGTAGATCGATCTTTTGTATGAAACGTTAAAAAGAATAGTAAGTCGAAAAGTAATCAGAACAGCTTGTTGTTGAATTGGTAAATTGAGTAAGTAACTCATGATGTACGAGTAGAAATTACAGTTTGTGCAATCTATACGATTCTATCCCAAATTTCAGTCGAGAAGTAACTTTGATAGTTTAATAATTGCTGAATATTATTATTCAATTAATACACCAAGTATTGTAAAATAATTAATTAATACACAAAAACGTTGTTCTATATTCGATAATCCAATACATTAATTAATGCAATATGATTGTTATATATTCGATAAATAAATAAATATAATGAGTGATAGAACCTTGAGGGTGAATGCTAGTTTTGGTATAGCAGAAACAACACCGACATCCACCCTCAAGAATAGTCCCATACTAGAAAGTCTTCGAGAAAATCCTAATAATTTATATACAAGTACAAGAATTAATAGCACTTTTAGTATCATCTCAGATACTGCTATAATATAATAATCAAGTTACATTTCATACAATTCTTCGTAATAACTTACAGATATTGTTTTTTCTTCAAGAATAGAATCGACAAATAATAATTGTTTTTGCTGAAATAAAAAACAAGTAACGCTCATCCGATGGATTCGCTGACCCTTTTCTGAAAGAAAATTTTCTATGGTTATCATTAAAAATGATTTTGATTTTGAATACATGTTAACAAAGAGAACCTGGACACGTTCTACTCATCGTAAAATCTTAATCGAACATGGTTCATTTTTAATTTGAGGAATAAACGATCAGTCGCAGCCGTATATCTCGTTTTTTGAAAAACTGACCTAATTTAAAGAGTTTCAGGAGTTGTGACGTCGCATGTTCGAGCATTCTTAGACTTTTAAAATAATCTTAGCAAAGCAACCTTACTATTCCCGAACAATCAGGAAAATTGACTGTATGAAAAAAATTGATCCTCTTTCCAAAGTATATTCAGCAAGTTTAATAGCATAACCAAACTGCTATATGTTTCGACTCACCCCGAACCACGACTATACCAAAAAAATAATTCATTTAAAATGACACGATCCCGGACAACTCTTAAAACCTTTTAGGGTCGTACAACTGCATATCTATTCCTGCTCACGCCACAACAAGCAAATAATGCCATGTTTGCATTCACAAGTCTTTTACTGAATAGGTGTTGTTAGGTCAAATGTGTAATTAAGATTTCTTTTTAGCTCAAGAACCGAATCACTTAACAGTTTCGCAAAAAACCACAAATCTCACTTATTACACTTACGATAAATCATTCAAATCAACGCCTAGTCGTTCGTCGGCCTCCCTTCGGTCGGCCACTCACGGCTAGCCGTTTTCGTGTTCAACTATACTATTTTTTCCACTATAACTTCAGCCTTGCAGTAAAAGGGTGCATTTCATGTGAATTTCTCTCAGAAAGATGCTGAGTATTTGATACTATGATTCTCAAGAAGAAACTCAGAAAAGGAGAACTATCTTGTAAGATATTACGAATAGAGTGCATTAAATTGTGCCATAGGAAAGATCTTCATCTACTTCGAATATTATTATACAGTTAAAATCTACGACCATTTAACAGTAGAATTTCAAACAACTGTTCTTTTCTCAAAATTATTTGTTTTAATTTTACCAGAAAATCCGATTATAGTTATCAACTAGGGTCCGATGGGACAGGGTGTCTTTATCTTGATCTCGCATATTAAAAGTGGTACCCGTCCTGGTCCCGTTCGAGCCCGATTTTTCTGAATCTGCCAAGAATAGTTTTTAAACACTTTGTTTAACAAGTGAATACCCACACCAACCGGGCCCAACAATAAAATTTCCAAAAAAACCTTTTCTTTGTGTCAAAAAAGGAGAGACAAAAAAATTCTAAAAATCTGACCTCGGATTCGGATTTCCCAACCCCGATTACCTTTGATCAAACTTTATAAGAAAAAATTTTTTTCGTAAAAAAGCCTATTCTTTGTGTAAAAAGCTAATTTGAAAAAAAAATTTAAAAAAACTGACCGCGGATTCGGATTTCTCGACCCAAAAAGCCTAGGGTCAGGTTATTTAGACTTTAAATAGAATAAAAGTGTGGCTTAAAAACTTTCTTGTAATTTGATTGGTTTGGACAGACAGAATGAATGAATGAATGAATGACAAACTTTATGCATTTTGAGCTCACGATTTAAACGTCATATAACCCTTTCTTTCAGAAAAGGGAATAAATAAATAAATACTATGTATGAATATATTTATCCGAAAATCTTTTGGGACTAGACAGGAAAAAAATATCTAATATATTTCAAAGAATGAATTTTTTATGCATCACTCTAACAAATAATTTAAATCAAATATTAAAATATCATTAAAGCTAGAATAAAAGATAAATTTTATTATTTTCAGAATAGATAGTAAAATATTTGAAATCTGTTTGAGAAAAAAATAATTCATTTCGAGTTTATTAAATTAGTTAAGAAATTTTAATATACAAAAATTACTCTTCATTAAATAATTCATTCCAGAATCGTTTTAATTTAGGATTACGATTTCTAATAATAGCTGCTTGTTTTTCTTGTTGTTCTTCAACTTCAGTAATACAACATGTCTTCTTTCCACATATTTCAAGATGTGGAGCACATACCATACGACGACCCATTACTGGACAACATTCACTTTGTGCTCGACATACTTCAGCTTTATTTTTGCATGCATTTGATAATAAACCACTGAAATAAAATAA